GTGCAAAGTTTCACGTCATTGCGATATCATACAAAAATCCATATTTTTGGTGATTTTTGAAAAGTGTGTTGAAAATTAGTAGAATTTATCCAAAACTAACGTCTTCTTCTAACTTCTCGTTTTCTCCCACTACAAATTTCAGATTTTGATTAACGTCTCTGGGGAAAGAGTCGAGTTAACGAATTTTTGCATAGAATGGACCATTCTAAATGGTATAGTATTGGTATAGATCCAAAATTTTGGGGTGATTACAATACTTTGCAACACACAGTGGGTGTACGAAAAAGCGTGCGAAAAACAAATTGGTTTTGGATACATATTGAACTACATACAGAATGAAATTTGTAAATGTTGGTTGGCAAATATGTTATCATTCTTTGAAAGTCTTTTATGGCACCGTAGCAGTTTTGAATATTTATCATTTAAATTCTTGTCTTTTGCTCTTATTTAGAAAATCTCGTGATGACGGCAATTAAAAAATGTCCGCAAACGTGTAATAGTGTTTGAGTCACAAAAAATTCTAAATATTACAGGGCGAGAATATGTTTTTTTCTATTAAAAAGTATTTATTTTTTAAGATTGTACGTCGGTTTTTTTAGATTCGGGACTGCCACTGAATTTGTCTTTTGGTCACTTTGTTCTAGCGGTAGTTTGCGTATATCGAAAATCCAATCGGTGACTGAACTTCGAAAGAGTCCGATCTCATTTTTTTTAATAGTTGTGCACGCACCTCAAGAGTGGCGAATTAAATTCGTCGCAAATCATTTAATTGTGGCGAAAACTCATTTTGACAACTCATGTCATCGCGTCATCGTCATACTATCTCTCTAAGCGCGAAGGAAGCACATTTATTCATCTTGCTAACTTGTTAACAGACACAAACCAGCTATCGAATTTGATTGATCAAAAAATACATAGAACTTCTAGAAAGTGTGCAAAACATTACTGAACCGAAGATATTTTTTCAAAGAAGTATCACTTCCTGTGACATATCACACTTTCAAAACTTTATATTGTTTGCAATCCAAGGTAAATATTGGAAATTTCGATCAAACTATTTGTTATTATAAACAATATTGTTTTTTTCTCCGAAATTGATTTGAAATTTGGTGAAGATGGAGTGGAAAGACGAGCTGTTCGAAATGCTTGCCTCATTTGAACGGCAAGCGATATACTCATTGAGTAACATCAGAATGGTGTTCAAGCGTGATGGCCTACTATTTAATACAAAATTCAAGCAGCATTTTTTGCAGGCATCAACTGTTCGGTAGGTCTCACCTTTTGCTTATCTTTTGCACTTATTTTTATTTCCTTTCTCATTAATTTTCAACAAAATATTCAACAGACTGGAACAGACCTACAACCAATTTGTAAACAATATGCAAACCATAGAAGAAATGTTCCACAGCAATGATGCTACTGCGTTCGAAGCAAATAAAGTCATTCCGACCAGAATTCAATTGCAAAACAATCCACCAATTGATTTGATCGACATGAACGACTCAAGCGATGAAGAAAATACAGTACCAAGAGCTATGGCAACCACTTCACTGGGACCGATCCTTGAGATTGACATCCAAAATAACTCGAAGTGGTGCACAGATGACCAAAGCAGTGATGTCACCTTAATCGACGAAGGTGTAGGGGTAAGAATGGAAGAAACGGAAACAGAACACGATATTTCAATGAACGTGTCTGAACAGTATCAAAGGGTAAATGCACCTAACGAAAATGATTTTGGCATAATGACAACCGAAAACGAGCATATCAATGCAAGGAACGGACTCAGTGGGGAAATGAGTTCGAACAATTTCACGGATACAACAAAACAGTCAGTTCCATCAAACCAAATGATGAAAAGATTCAAGTGCCAACTTTGTGAATATTCCAGCAACCAGAAAGGGCATATCAACAGACATAT